TTGTCATCTTCAAGAAGCCAGTCTGAAATTGAGTGGCCATAAAAAGATGGACATAGTCAGGACAAAAGTCAGGTAGTTTGTAGCATTTAAACAATGATCTAAGGGGCCAAGAAAAGATCCCCAACACCATTACACTACCAGGCTACCAGCACCAGCCTGAACTGCTGATAACAGGCAGGGCTAATCAAAAATCTGACCAGGTCATCCAAATGTTGCAACTGCAATCGAGGTTCGTCAGACCAGGTGACATTCTTACAATATTCTATTTTGGCTAATTTTGGTGAGGTCTTACAAATTGTAGCGTCAGTTTCCTGTTCTTAGTTGAGAGGAGTTGTCTTTTGCAGCAGTGGCCCATCTTTTTCAAAGTTTGATGTGCATTCAGATATTCTTTTCTGCATACATTGGTTTTAATGAGAGGTGATTTGAGTTTCTGTTGCCTTCCTGTCAGCTATAAGTATTCTGGGCATTCTTCTCTTACCTCTGACAAAAATATGTTTTTTTTACTTAGAGAACTGCTGGTCACTGGATGTCTTTGTTTTTTTTGGACCATACACCTCCAACTCCAACAGATGCTTGTGTGTGAAAATCCCTGGATGAAACCTGGATCTGGATCAAATACTCAAATCCACCAATCTGGCACCAACAGCCATGAAGTCCCTTTAGTTACCTTTCTTCCCCATTCTGTTGCTCAGTTTGAGCTTTAGTGGGTCATCTTTAACATCTTTAAATGCACAGAGTTGGCTGACTTGATCTTTGCATTACCAAGCAGATGTCCCTAATGTAGTGGCTAGTGATTGTAGTATTATAGCACCCATTATATTGTAACTGTATTTTTTATTTTTTATTTTTAGCTCTGATTACAGAATATCACGAATAAATTTATGCAACCCACATTATCTATTGCTTTAAACTGATCTGATTGGATGTTAAGAAACTGCATTATTGAACATGTGTTAAATATGAACACTCAAAAAATGATTCATTTTAAGTGAAACTATTCTATGTAACAAAGGTGAAACACCCTAAATTACACAGTGGCAAAAAGACAAAAAATCAAAACAAATAAAGTAATTATAGACAAAAGGTTTTTTATTTTTTTATTGGCTTAAAATATGAGTATGATTGGCATACTTAAAATGTAACAAACTGTTGTGTTCACAATGTTGGCAGTTTACATTCCCAATACAGTACAAAAAATCCCTCATTTATCGATGAAGAATGTATTCTGACCCTGTACCGTGGCTCCATACTGTAGTGGTTTACACTAATAAGCAAAAGATCCCCAGTTTGTTTCTGGGAGAAGATACAAATTCCTCAGGGGCTTCATCAGGAAGGGCATTCAGCATAAAAATCTGCCAGATCAAATACAAAGAGCCACCCCTTGTGGTGACCCCTTGTGAATAAGTGGGCAGCCAAAAGTAGCTTTCTGTATTATAGCATTGTGCTGAAAACTAATGAAATATTCACCGATGGCAGGTACATTTTTAAACATTTCTTTGCATACAGCAAATAAGCCAAAGTCATGTCATCATTTTCAATATAATACGATCTAGCCATTAATTTGTATGCTAGTTGTTGTAGCACATTTTTTTTTGCCGACCATAATAAAATTATTTTATGATGATTATTTGTATTCAGAACAACTTTATACTGCTCTGCATCGAACCTTCCCTCAAATGAATCTAAACACCTCAGTGTAGTTTTTCTTGAATTTGTCACCTGTTTTCATTTAAAATTTAGATAAAATTTTTTAGATTGAATTAAAATATATATGTATCGCTATATTTCAGATTTTGATACTGCAGTGTGGAAGTTAAACTGTTAACAGCCTGAGCAACAGATCTTTTTGTACACCACTAGAGGTCGCCATTGTTCCACTATATCAAAGATTGCCATCCTTTTACAAAAGAGTTGTTAGATGTGAAATTTTGTGGAAATTCAAAAGATAACGTAAGATCAAAACACACTTTTTTAAACAAATGGACATATTTGTGTGTGAGTGTGTCTGTGTGTGTGCAATCTTTGTGTATCATATTCAGAAATATCCAAATGTACACAAACGGAATTATAATTACTGTATAATCATTACTTGACAGAAAATTGCAAGTACATAAAACACAACCATTGTACTTATTATCTCCACCATACAAACCACAACAATCACATTGAACACAACAGCGGTTCACTGACTGTGGTGCCACACAAAATATTCACAACTCAGTTCATCAAAAGGATCATTTTCAGACTGGCTCAAAATCTCTAGAAAACCAAAAACCAAAATCACAAAAATAACAGTTTTCTGTCGACTGTATGGACAAAATTTAAGAACTTTTTATATTTCATTAAAGACACTGACAAAGGAGCTCATGTAGAAACGCAATGTGCCAAACTTTTAATAAAACTGCATACCAGTCAAAAAGATGGCTGGGCAAATTAATAAAATGTAGAAGCCTGTGAACATTTTTTAATATATATATATATATATATAGTTTTATTTAAAATGCAAAACCACTCTGAATGTTACAGAGCAAACTACCCACAGAGAGAAATGATCAGAAAAGTGTAATCCCCAACTCTGTGACAACATCCTCTCTATTTGCATCAATTGCACTTCAGTATTTCTCCTGCAATTTGTTTTTTAAGCCCTTTTCGAGTATTGTCACTTCGCTTTCTTGCTGCTGTACTTGCATGAAATGATAAAAAGTTCTTCAAGGACAGTCACAACCTTCATGTCTAAACCTCACCTTACACAAACCTTCACACATATATACGGCTTTGCTTAATGGATGCACCAACACAAACACATACTGCAAAACCACCACATTGGGTTGCTGTGTTTGACATAGCAGAATAAAACATTAAAGATCTCTAGATAAAGAAACTCCACAGAAACAATTAAATTGATGTTTCTTTCTTTTCTTTCTGTGTTACATTTTTCATTTCTGTTACAAGCAATCTTAACTTTCCGTCCTTTACGTAGACTCCCTGGGAATTCTCCTGTGAAAGACCACTGAAGAATGCCTTTGCTGAAACTGCTGCTTCCTCCTTTTTTTCTGGTCCCAGCGGCACAACAGTATCATCTTAAATGTTGTACGAAAAGTCTTGTTGCACAGGGCGTAACACATGGGGTTGACTGTGCTGTTGACGTAGCATAGCCAGTAACCTACTGCCCACAGAGTTTCTGGGATGCAAGTTTTACAGAAAGCATTGATGAGCACCATGATGTTGTAAGGTGTCCATGTGATGATGAATGCAAAGAGGATGGCACTGAGAGTTTGAGCTGCCTTCTTCTCTTTTACCAAGGACATCCGCTTCCTTTTGGTGATCTGAGTCCGGGCTCGGGCAGCGAAACGCTTTGCCAGAGCTGCCTCCTTGAAGGACATTGGACCTGAGGGGGACTTGGTGGTTGTGCTGGTAGTAGTACTGTCAGAGGCAGTGGTAGTGGTTACTGGGGTACCATCCAGAGACCTATGGTTAGAAGTAGCCTGGATGGAAGACAATGATTGAATCTTGCGTGAGCAGAAGCGTTGGTGGTAGCTATTTTCTGAACTGTTTTGCCCTTCCGGAGTAACAGTGGCTATTGTGTTTGGAGCTACTGATGAAAGACTGTCTCGATTATACTCCGCTGCTCTAAGGGGATCCTCCTCTGAGGCTCCATCCAGATCCTCGCATGAGGTTAGCTGGGAGTTAACAGCAGCTTTTATGCCAGGAAGGCTTAGAACAATGGAGAAAATAGCATGACTTTGTGGAATCATATCTCTACCTCCACAGTCCTCATCTTCTGAAGACCCAGACTGGTCCAAAGAGACTGCAGCGTCATTGTTGTTCCAGCTGTCACTGCTACTCTGATCTGGATCACCATCTCCCTGTCGCATACTACCAGGTCTCCAAGAGCGAACACCGGGCCAGCAGTGGAAGCGGCCTACCAGTTCCCGACATGTGCTCTTTCTCCTAGAGAGCCTGGTCAACTCATAGCTGCTGCAGCTTCTAGAACTTCCTGTCTGATGGACAAAACGGGCTCTTTCGCCCCCACCGTTTACACCTCTTGCTCCTATTCCACCCGAGCCCTGCAACCCAGCTAGCTCTTTTGAACGATTCTGGGTCTCCTTGTAAATGCGCCAGTAGAGAACACTCATTATTGTCACAGGTAGGTAGAATGCCGCCATGGCTGTGCAGAAGGTTATAATAGGCTGTGAAAGGAACTGAATGTAGCATTCCCCTGGGGGCACTGTCCTTTTACCCTCAAGAAACTGCCATAGCAGGATGGCTGGAGCCCACAGGACAAGAGAAACAAACCAGGCTAAGCCTATCATGATCCCAGCTCGCCTTGTGGTCCGTTTGGCCCGGTAGGTCAAAGGCCTAGTAATTGAAAAGTAGCGGTCAAAGCTGATGACCAGTAGGTTCATAACAGATGCATTGCTTGCCACGTAGTCTATAGCCAGCCACAAGTCGCATGCCCAGTTGCCCATGGCCCATTTGCCCATCACAAGATAAGCTGTGTAGAGGTTCATGGAGATGACCCCTATGATAAGGTCAGCCACAGCTAAGCTCAACAGGAAATAGTTGTTGACTGTCTTTAGTTGGCGATTAACCTTAAAGGATACTACTACCAGGATGTTCCCAATGACCGTGACCAGTGACAGCATGCCAGTCAATAAGACAATGAGGACAACCTGCCACACAGCGTGGCCACCAAAGGGATCAGGGGCTGCTGTTGCACTCCCATTTTGGGGTTCTAATGAGGAGTTTAAGAGCTTGCTGATAGAAGAGGAATTATCATCCATAGCATGATAAACCACGGGCGTTCCTCCAGTTCCTCCTTGATAGGGTGCATTGGACTGTGAGTAGGCTGCAGCCAATGGTGGTAGAGTGCTGGCAGTCAGGAAAAGACCAGGATCTGTGCTGTTGGAGCTCATTGTTATGTTCTGGCATATTCTAAAGAGAAAGATAGTAAAGGGAGGTAGGAAGGGACATAGAGAGGAGGGGAGAGGGGCACAAAAGGGAAAATAGACAAGTGTAAAAGAAAAGAGTGGCAGAAAGAATAAAATTTGAGAAGGTAGCTGATATTCTCATTCATATCCACTAGGTGAGGCTACAAACCCATTCTACGAAACTGGGTGTTTGGATAGGCAAAGATTTATGGATCTTTCCTTTAAAACAGTCACCCTTAATTTTATTTGCGTACAATCTTTTTGTACACTTTAAATGCTACAAGCAATACATATCAAATTATACCTTGATGCTGAATTAACATAGGTAGATGGTCAACAATGATAGTAAGAGTGCAATCAGAGCTATTTCTTATGAAACCCAATAAAATTGCAGATATATTTAACTTAAACACAGGTAATGCATTTTCACGTTGTTGCCTAGTTTATAAGGATGCCTGTGTTAAAACTAAACACTACATCACATTAAACCCTTGTACCTGATGGTTTTCTGCTTACAGATCATAAATGGAGTAAGCACAGTGGTTACATTCAAAATTTAACACTCGTATATGTCGCTAGTCTACAAAGGGAAACAGTTTTGTGATAATGGCAATTTTATATTTATTGTGTCAAAGACTGGTAAAAGTTATAACAAGTAGGGGTTTGAATAAAGCAGGAGGAATGAACTTTAGGAGATATTCTGGCACTTTTTTCCCTGTCTGAGCAGCGTTTTTTTTCCTGCTCGCTAATTAGACATCAGCATTGATCTGGTCTTCCAAAAGCCTTCTAAGAAAGAAAAGATAGATCCTAGACAGATAAAGCTATCAACAGACAAAACCTAATGGTGAAACATGGAGAAAAGAGCACCAGAAGAGCTAATACCGCCGTAGCCACAAAGAATGTGTGAATATGCACTGTTTTTAGTTCAATTCAAGATGACTTTGCAATAAAAGGGCAAACATTGAATGAAAGATCCTGCTGTTTTTGTCAAAGCAGTTACTGATAATTGGATAATGAGATGAAGACCTCCAATTTCTAAACCAGCATGTTCTATTCTCTTCAAGTTTCGCTGAGCAATAACGCACAACTGCTGGGGTGAATGGATTCAGATGCATGCTTTTTAAATGACTGGCAAATCAGTTTGGACTTACAGCTAGGGATTCACATAGTTTACACATGTGTCTGATGATACAAACATCAAATAGCACATATGAAAACTGCAGCTTTTTGTTGCCTGACAAGTGTAGTAATCAATACTCAGTACACAGCTGTGATTATACAGAGTGCCGCACATTACCCCCGCTTGCTTTTTATTGTGAAAGCCATGGGAGTAGTGTTCTTCTGCTGACATTTACAACAATGTTTCAACAAGGAAAAACACATTACCCCTTACCACCAAATCCACATGCCTACAGACACTATGTACACAAATATATAAGCACGAATATAGCAGTTGTATAATGTTTAAAGTGACAATCGTGCACACAGTATTCATCCCACAGGGAAAGGTATTTGAAGCTGAGTGCTGTACCTGTGCCTACACAGAATCTCAGACCTCCCACAGAGCTGTTAAAGAACCCCAGTAGCCAACAGCGTCTCACAGCCATTTGTGACACCGAGAGCCGCACACTGCTACTACTATTATCAGAAAAGCTCCCTGCTGTCTTTGCTGTGGACATGCATCACTTCATCCATGCTCATCCATGGATAGAATGCCTTCATGTTTCACTCATATACGCTTTACGTGACAGTGCAGAGCATATAATTTTCACCGAAAGGCATCGTGTGCACCATATTTGCATAGAAATTTGCAGTATGCACAGATTTACACATTAAATGTAGCAATGTAATTAATTACAGCAGGCTATATGAAAAGCAAAAGCAGCCAAATACAAAAACAACAATGCCTTTGAGGGAAAAAAAAACTTTTAACATTTTACAAATTAAATTGTACTGGGCATGTATGTGTTACTAATGAAAAACAAATAACATTTAACTTTACTTACCAGTGCAAAATGTGTTTGTTTGGCGATCACAGCAATATATTGTCTAAATTTCTATGTCATTATATATACACATTGTTCACTTTCGTTTTAAAAAATATCAATATCTGAACACAATACTTAAACAAAATCAGCATTATTACTCAAATAAATAAATAGTATACTGTTTGGTGTAATGCAGACATATGAAGAGAGAAAAGGCTGGATCCTATGGGAACAGGCCAAATGTCAGAATTGCTGTACCTGTCTCTGTCTCTTTTTGAGAGTTACACAATAAATCAGCGTTGGCACTGATGGGTCTGCAAGTCCCTCATCACACTGACACAACAGTGTACAAAATCCTTCAATGACACTAATAGGA